ATTTTACGTACTACCACTGTCAAACAGCCATGCTATTATCCCTGTCATTAAATTGATTATCATGATACATCTGCTGGCAGTGGTAGGATCCTTTTTTTTTTTCTATTTGGATCTCCGCAGGTTAAGTGCAAAAGGATTCATTGCAACCTCATTTTAAATGTATGCACCCTCAATTGAATGGACATAAAATAATTACAATATATATATTTTTTTTACATAAGTAATCAAAGCTTTCAAATGATAACAGTGACTCAGATCATGTTTATTATGTGAACTGGTGGTCAGGACAGGTGCACCTGACCTGTCTGTTCCCCAGGGACCACATGCAGGACTCATCACACCTATATGCTATTTTTCATTGCTGTTACCGGTCACTGTAGCTGCACCCCCTTTATCTCAGATGCACCCCAAAGTCATTTTGTTCTAGAACCGGGCCTGCTCTCCGCAATGATTTCCTTGTGATTTTAATGAGATTAGGCTATAACAAAGTCAGAATTTGACATATATCATGTAGAACGTATACCCAAAATGTATAACAACAGTACATGAAATTACATGAAATTACTCAAGGGATTTAATACCACACTGCCCACTGCTCTTTATTTCTCAGTTCAGGGATACATCAACCAATTTTTTGTTTGTTGTCAAAAAATGGTGCTAAAGATTTTCATTTGTCCATGTTTTAGTACTTCATATGTATTTGATATGTTTATGTGTTCTCCAGTAAAATATTTGTGGTTTCCATTAGACATGATCCTTAACCACTGCATGTGTCTTAACTCCAGTTAGAAATAATTTGAAAGTTTGAACAACAACTGCATCCATTGTAACAACAGTAAAGTAAAAGAAAAAAATGTCTACTACTTTGTCAGAGCTCAAATGTTATCTTTACTCTGTGTCAAATGTGTTCAGTCTGTAATGGGTTGTAACATCTCTAACAAGTCAACAAGAGCACTTAGTGGGTCAGTAACTGTGTGTGTACCACTGACCAGTGGTAATTAACAAAATAGCAAACATATTGAAACACTATGGCTTCCCTTAAATTGTCAAAAGACTAGTGTGGTTGGCTCACCTCTTTTAGTCACTTCGATATCCCTTCTGTGACGTCCTTAGTAATTTCCTCGAATATTTAGTTAATATTAAGGCAAAAATATTTATTCATGTAATATAATGAACTCTGAATTTAAAAAAAAGTTACAAACATCGCCCTGCCTCAAACTGATGTTTTTGTATTCCAAAAGTGTCTGATACTCACATACACATCTCTGTGATTGCATAGTATGCCTCCCATCTCAGCACTGCACCCTAAGCAGATTGTATTATCAATAAAAAACACTCTTTGTACCAGAGTAAAAAATAAAAAAGGGAAAAAGGGAAAAGGGTGGTGTGAATGAGGGAGAGGTGAATGAGAGGAATGCAGCCTCATTGTCATTTATCTCTCCTTCTTCTCTATTATTTATCAGCCCCTTCTCATCCCTCTTCAGCATGCTGATAGAGGATAAAATAGGTCACAGAGGGATGGCTTTTGCTCACACAGTGACTGATGTCTTCCCTCACAAGCACCCCCCTCCTTTTCTGCATCCCTCATTCCTATGTCTTTCCTTTCTTCCTCACTGCTCCTGTGTCGGTTTTTTTCACCTGATCTCTCCCCTTTCATTCTTTTCCTTTCTCTTGCACAGCATCCTCTGCTCTCGATCCCCTCACATGCCTCTCATCTATTGATAATTTAAGTATTGTATTTACTCTGCTCTACCAAACTTATTCTCTGTCTCTTCCCATTCTTCCTCTCTTTCTTGTTGTACAGGGGTAAAACTCAGATTAAAGACCTGTTGTTTTAGCTAGAAATCTGTAGGGGCACCTCAAACAATTATGTCTTCATAGAAAGGAAAGAATCATCATACATTGGTGAAACACATTATCAATGGTAAGGGATAGAATTACATCCTCTGACATGTGCTTTTATTTCTACTTCTTGAAGTATTTTTCTCTTCCTTCTGCACAAATCATCAATGGCACTTTTACATTATGATATGTGTTCAGCACCATAACAAATTCATTGTCATTATGCCTTTGAACATACTAAACATGTAGAGTCCGTTTCTTTTGAGGTAAGGGTTAACTTCTGAAGGTTAAACAACCCAGAGGAAAACTTAACTGAACCTGACATCTCTGTAAACTTGTAGTTTGGTTGAAAAGATACACAATACTTACAAGATAAAGAATACGTACAAGATGCTGAAACCACAGGTTTCCCCCCTCTGTCGCTGACTGCAATTACTAAGGTATCCACCAGATGGAGACAAAAAAAATGTCCAGGCATAGAAGTATGTGTAATGGATTAATCAAACTCATTTGAACATTTTCTTTCTAAACTGCAAAAACGTATTTTCATTTTCCATTTCTTATTTGACTCTATTACACTGAGATATGAGAGGTATTTGATTTCACTTTCTTTCCAATTTTGTTTCACTTTCTTTAACATGTTTCATTTCAGTAGCTGCCCTCACCACAATATGGTAAATATTATTGTAAACGGATTATTGTAAACAATGACCTCATAAAATAGTAATAAGATTAGATAAGATAATCCTTTATCGATCCCCAGTGGGGAAATTCAAGTTCTGCAGCAGTAAAAGACAACAAGAAGAGCATGCATATGAGTATTAATAAAATTAGAAAATATAGGAATAAATAAAAAATAAAGATAAAAGTGTTTTGTGCAGGATTAGTAGTCACATGTGATTAGAGATGATAGTGGGCCAAATACATTATTTATATCCCCAATTTATGCTTCGATCTGCTTTCAAATTGTATTGTTGAATCAGAATAGTCTATGGTTGTCTATTTTACAAAGAGTCCTGTGACCTGGCCAATGATAAACAGGCCATGACACTGGATCAGTGGGTACAGTGGGTCGCTTCTCAACTGCAAGAAGTTTTCTATCTTCAGTTCCTGCAGCCACATGTCCCATGTGTCCTTGGGCAAGACACTTAACCCCAAGCTGATCCCACTGCTTTGTGGGCAATGTATGAATGTGCATGAATGGGATTAGTTAATTCTTATAGCAGCCTCTGCCATCATTGGTTGGTAGTGACCTGCGATGTAAACGCGCTTTGGCGATTCTGAAAACTAGAAAAGCGTTATACAGGCTTAAGCCCATTTACCAATTACTATATACTAGAATGGAACCTGAATTAGACCTTAATGACAAAACTCAAACAAGGATCTAAATCTGTTCGGCCAAGAGCAGGTTCTTGTGTCCTGGGGAACTGTAAGTCCTATGGAGATCTCTGCACCCATTTACTGCCATAAAATTTAGACAAATCCCAAACAAAGAGAATAAAGGCAAAATTTCCTCGGCAGCCACTTGCTTGCTAATGTTAAGCTTGTCTGATTTACTGAGTGGGAAATACCTTCATATGAGGGCAACCCTTTATCCCACCTGATATCAGCTTCTGCTGTCCCAGTGCTAGCAATCCTCTTGCATGGACATGCAGGTCCTGTAGTTGATCATCTGCAAATGTTCAGTTTTCAGACCAGGAATCTCAACACTCGGCTGTCTATGCTTATGCTGACTTTTATCACTCGGTATGGATATTCCAGCTCCAACTTTCAAAGCAAGACAGCCGGGTCCCTCTGCACTCTCCCTGTAGGGAGCTATTTCACTGAATAACAGAGCAGAGAGTCCTGGGGGACCAGACATGTCAGCAGTTTTCTATCGTCTTCTAACACTTTAACCTCTCTTGTGTGAGTGCACCCAAAGACAGCAGACCCCAAAAGGTTATGGCCCTTCTCACCCTGACTGCTCATCCTGCTGGATACCTAAGGACATCTAATCCTTTAAAGGGATTGTTCAGGTTTTTTAAGTTGGGTTGTATTGGGTACTTATAAATAGTAAGTGTACAACATACAGGCAATAACAGCCTGTGTGGCTCTCACCATGAATAAGTCAAAGAGTGATCAGCCAAAGGGTATTGGGATATGCCTGGACCCCTGTTGAATGCTGGCTTTCCTATCGGCCTTACGTCACATCTTTTAGAAACAGCTGTTGACAATAAAGCCTTTAAATAAGACTAGTAATTGTGCTGACATCAGAGACATCCGTATTTCCCCTAAAACAATGTACTTTTTGCTGCTATGTATGGGGACTCGGGGTATCTCCAATCACTATCTAATCTATCTCTATTAAGTGCCCTATCCTTTGGGTAAGGGCTAGTTTGGCAGCACAAGGTGATTCAATCAAGTTAATCAATCAACTCCTTATTTTTAAGTGCCAAATCCCAACTTAAGTTATATCATGAATATTTACATACTGAGCAGATCTAATCAACTAGATCTAGACACAAGCATCTGCATTATAACTGGCCAATCCTAAATATCTTCCCAATGTGAATTTTTATGAGTTTTTAAATCATTCATTTTTTCTGAAAGAAGTCAGACAACATTTTCACTACTTTAATGTGGGATGTCTGGACCAATAGTTCATTTTTTGTTGACTAAGGCATCCTAACTTTGCATGTACTGCTTTTTGTTTGCTAAGCAGCAGATGGCTGCCAAGCAACAAAATTAATGTGGATCTACTAATGTACAACCAAAGTAATAATGAATGTTAAATAAGTAATATCAGTGCTTTCTTTATGAAGTATTGAGAATCTGCTTTCTTCTGTACAAAATATTTTTTTTTCTCTGATTATTTAATGCTTTAATGCCACTCCAACCCAAAGTACTGCCTTTGGTGTTGACCCGGCATTAATAGAACTGTAGTTAGATACATATAATGCTCATTACAGTATTCATGGTGTGCTACATATATTTATTTACTTCTGAAGAAATATGAGAGGCCTGCAAATACAAAAATAAATGGTCAATCCTAAGTTTTTTGTATTTGCAGGCTTGACTTCACAATTAGCAGAAGAGGGAGGCTATATATAAGCATTTGGCAGATTTAGATTACGTGACAAAATAAGCTTTTGTGTGTCAGTCCACTAAAACAAAAGACAAACACTATTACGCTTTATTAATCACCTGCAACAAAGTTTGCTTCAAGTTAAGGCAATACAGGTAAATATTTAAAATGTTTAATAGGTTGAGAAGAGAAATAGTGATTTTCTTTCAAATCAAGGGAAACCATAATACGAGTTCCTTTAGTATGTTATATTCACAAAGAGATATAAACCATTATACAAATTGCAGTTTTTGGTTGTCAAGTTGATGTTTGTTTTGTTTTTTTCATTTCAACTTCAATGTAAGTCAACATGCATTGTTGAATTATTTGCTGTACAGTTCATATCACGTTTTATTATTACAAAAAAATATTTTACACAAATAGTACACTCAAAGTCACTTAAAGAATTGGCAATTGCATTACTGCTCCTCATAGAAGACTTTAGCCATGGCAAGGGCAACCTTGGCAACCTTTTTGTCCTTGGCGTCTGGACCCATGTTGGCACGAGCCACACCTATCCAGTACCCTTCTGTACGAATCTGGTATTCAGACACTGTCTCTTCCTTCTTCACTTCAGGGTGGTCTTCTTCATCTGGAACACACATTTGAGTAAAGAGGTTAAAGCTTCTTGTAACATTTTTTATATATTTCAATGGCAAATCCTTCCCAATGAATGTCACAAAGCCGATGTACCCCTTATTTTAATACAAGCATATTAATGAATTAAAATGGAGCATAGTGACAATGATGGCAACTCTTCTTAAGACTCTTATGTAAAAGGGGAGCTCCAGCTGAACATAAGGGTAAGGGCTGGGAATCTTTGGGTGTCTCACGATTCGATTCAGAATTGATTTTCGATTCAAAACGACTGGCTGAATTTCTTGTTGCTCTATTTGACATTCTACTGAGTGGAAGAGCTAGCTTAAGCACTTAGCAGGGAGTGACTGAAAACTATCTGACTAGAGGTGTTGCCTGGCACAATTCAAGGTCAGAATTTCAATCTTGACAGAGCAAGTTAAAGTAAATTTACTAAACTAAACTTAAAAAGCCAAGAGAGAGGAAATAAGAGGGAAAAGAGAGACAAAAGCAGGTTTGACTGTTTATAAGAAATAGTTTTGAAGTGTATCTCAGTTAACAAAAAAGAAAGAAAAACCTTGTATCTTTAAAATACCTTTAAACGTTTTCTAAGATTGAGCCCTTAATTTGGATATGCCCTTTGAAGCTATTATCATTTTGTTTTTTGAAGTGCAACATTACAGTATGTTGAAAAGAGAAACGATTAATATTTTCTTATTTATTAATAATTAGAATACCCACCAGTTCATAACATGTATATTAACATTTAAGCCGTAAATTTACAATATTGAATTTGTAAATCGATTAAAATGAGTTGGCTTTAGTTCATTGACTTGACAGCGGTTGTTGTCTCCAGAAATGTTAATTCAATTACAATAAGCTACTTCAAATCATATGTTACTGAATCATAATGCAAGTTCGACTTTATGATGCTCTGGGTGTTAGCTCAAACCCAAACTCTTTAATTGTCAGTCACATTAAAAGGTAGAGTGGAAAAGAGAGCCACAGATCAGCCTAAGAGAGTGAAGAGGCAGAAAATCCCTTACCTTCTTCATCCTCGCTTTCCTCCTCAGACTCCTTTTCTTCCTCCCCTTCCGCTCCCTGGGCCTCTTCCTCCTCCTCCTCCTCGTCCTCTGATTCTGACTCTTCAAGCCACTCCTGTGTCTCTGTTGACCAAAATCAGGAATCTAAATCAGGTCTCAAACATTTCCCATCCATGATATTTCCATTCATTCTGTATCAAAAGGTATTAACACAACACAACACTGGTTGGACTTACTGCTCAATACATTTTATATTATTAGTTGTCTACACGTGTTACTTTATTTTAACATGTTTCATGTATAGTTTGACTTACTTGGGTCCATTTCGACTAGAACTTCCCACTGGTCCATCTTATGAAGGTCGAGGCAGTATAGGTCATTCAGGGTGAACTGGCGATCGCCAACCTCGAACATTCCCCCGTACAGAAAGAGCTTCCCTTGACGTGTTGTTGCCATGGCGCTGGACCTCGGACATGGCTCAACCAAGGCAGCTGAGGCGGATTCTAAGGAGACCAATAACATGTCATTGTCTTAACCAATCAATTCTTTTCAGGTTTTTTTTCTTTTTTTTCTCGTTTTTAACTAGGATATTTTAGTGTGTGCGTGTGCATTTGTAATCTTGCCATCATCCTCGTCCTCTTCTTCATCCTCATCCTCCTGCTCTTCCTCCTGAGCTCCGGGGAGCACTTCCTTGATAGTCATCACCGTGCCATCCTCTGTCATGATCTCTTTGACAACCTCTGTGGGAGCTTGAGGTCTCACCTCTTCCTCCTTCTCTGCTTGCTCCTCCTCTGCTCCACCCTTCACACCCCTTCGTCTTTTCTTTTTTCCTGACTTGTTTCCCTGGTCAAACAGAATTAAATACAATTATTTCAAACCGGAATTATGAAGTTGTGAGATGATCAAAAGCATAATATATGTGTATTTCTCATTCAAAATGTCAGTCATGGAAATTCACAGCTTCATCAGAAAGGTGGCTGGACTTGAAGTTCTCATCTAAAGCATACCAACGACCCACAGAGGCTTATATTTCTAGCTCATCCACAGATCAGTCTGGAACTGAAGAAGCCTTTCACACTACAGTATTAGTATACAGCAAAGAACTACAATATTGGTTTCCTCCAAAATTTTGTCAAAGCACTTCCCTCCGAATATTCTCTTATTACCTTCCCCAAACAAAGCCTTTCTTCGCCTTTCTAGGGAAAATGATAATCGTGCAAGCTTGGTCCACTATATGGGGTTTTTGTTCCTGCATTGCTTGTTCTTTGCTGACTGTTTTTAGACTTTCTCTGCCTTGTTGGAGGAGGTCAAGCCCTTTCTGTGAGCTGAACCCCAGGCAATAGTGTACTGTATTGATCATACTCAAGAAAAGATTGGAAGTGGGAAGAGGCTCAATCCTAATCTCTACACTAACTGAATTTGAGGTGCATTCACAGTAGGTATGTGAGCTCTTAGTCCTGTCCGACTGTTGCAGACTAATGAGGCTTGAAAGAAAAAGTATACAATCCAAGCATGCTAAGTTGGCAACATGTATTTTAATTACTTGTGTGGTTATTTATTGCATGTTTGTTGCGTCTTTGCATGTAGAGTTGTTCATGTTTGATTAACATCAATGGCTCTATGTTCATGGCCTTGTAGCTTACCCTGAGTTGGCCTGGGAACCAGCGGTTCTTCACTGTGTCATACAGGTAGAGATCATTGTAGAAGTCCCCCTCCAGAGACTCGTCCTCTTCCTCATCACAAACCCCTCCAAACAGTACTGCCCGCCCTGCTGGTCCCACCGCCAAAGAAAAACCAGAGCGGGGAGGGGGCTTGTTGCCAGAGGGGTTTACTCTGGACCACAACCACTTCTCTGAAAGGCAAGAACAACAACAAGTTAAAAAAAACAAATAAGCTTGAGGAAATCTGATTACACTCATGACGTGTTTTGTCACATTGTGTCTTTCAATAATGCTTCCTTTACCTTGGCCATCTTTACCCTCTCGCTTTAAAAGAAACATGTCAGAGTGGATGGTTCCCTTCTCTACATCCTTCTTGACTCTCTAAAAACAATACAAAAACACAATAACATAGTAGACAACATCATGAAAAGTCATCTTAGAGCGATATATATATATATATATATATATATATATATATATATATATATATATATCAACAGATACTCACCACTTTAGAGTATCCCCCATAGATGATGACACCCGCACCATCCGGCATGGAGGTCATCTGACAAGCAGATCGTGGGGAGGGGGACGAGCCAGATGGATTGAGGCGTGACCAGGAGAAGGTGTCCAAGGAAAAAGAGTGAACATCATTGAAGTAGATAAAATCTCTGCAGGTGAAGGGGGAGAAAGTGTGAGAGAACGGCGCAAACTGAAAAAATAACAGAAAAACTTCTTGTTTGAAAACAGATATCATCACATAAACTAACCACACTCACTGAGAACTGAATCCTCAAGTTTTTTTTCAAACATCTTTGCACTAATGGTTTAAGCAGCAGGCAGAGTGAAGTGTACTCTGGACACAGAGGGTGCTCTGGAGGATTTCAGACATTTGTAGTGTCTTACTTTTAATCAAAACTAAATGTATCCACATGGTCGACTGAGGGGTAAAGTGGGATACGTGTTCTTGTTAAAGTAATGTCTAATTCCCATTTCCCCTTTTGATTTGGAGATCAATGGATTGAAAGTTTGTTGTCATACTCTCATAAGCACATATATTTATTTAACATGTAATATTTCAATGAACGAAAGTTCTATTGATCAAAATAAAGTATGCATATTTAAACTCTATCAAAGCTGTTTGCTCTCAACTTCCCACACAACGGGGGGGTTTAGTCCAGATAAATATCAGGATTGGATTGGCCTTTTTTCTTCTTTTGAACAACCTGATTTCTAGATTTGATCCTATCCAATAGCTTTAACCTTGTTAGATTAATTTTGAACTACCTGGCGTTGAAGCTTACTGAACCTTCTCATAAAATTCAAGCAGCACAATGCCAGTATGTTCACTTTGTCTCATCTGTCTATCAATTTAACAACTTCATATTGAGCTCTGCTACAAACTCAGTGCATGTAAATCATTTTGCTCAGTTGGCCTTACAGCTTGGAATATGTTGCAAAGTTATATATATATATATATATATACATATGACATATGATTTGTAAAGAATTTTCAAGTTTGAACTTTAAGTAGTTGCTGTAGCTCTACCATAAGGTAGTTATATGTATGTCAAACTGATATTTTTTCATTTGTCCCTGATCCCATCACAGACTAAATTTAAATCATTTAGGATATTATTGTAATATTTTCACCTGTCATATACAAGAAAGTCATGTTTAAACCAGACTTGCTGCCTGCAGACCATGTGCCTACCTGGTGCTTTCATGGAATCCTCCAAACACCAGTAACTGATTCTTGCAAAGGACCATCCTGTGGCCACTGCGACCTGATGGACCACCAGGTGCCCTGGAAAAAATGAAAAAAAAAAAAAAAAGACTTCTTACACATGATGTCTGGAAATGGAAATAAAGAATTTAAAAAAAATCAATTCATTTGATTTTTTTAAAACTAAATCAAGCAGTGACTACAATATATGACTTTATAGTCCAACCCATCAACCTGTCCACCGATTAAATTTGCATTAAACAATAGGATGAATTGATTGTTTCCTTTGTATTTCATCTAACAAAAAAAGTATTTCTGTACACTTAGATCCCTGTATTTTCATAATAATCCTATTTTGTCAACGTCATGTTTATCATCACTTTTTTTGTTATCCAATGCACATACTTAATGTTCTCCCAGGTGTATGTTTCAAGGTGCAGCACCCATAGGTCCTTGTAGTGGTAGAACTGTTCCCCGTTTGGAGAGGCAAACTCTCCCCCAAACACCCACAGCTGACCCCCACCCTGGGGTACAACCACCGCCTTAAGGGAAGGAAGAGAGTGAGGGAAACAGAAACAGAGGGGAGGGGAAAAGGAAGGGAATCAGAGTGCTGCTCAAAAAGTCTGACCCAGGGGGGTTGACATTATTAATTACTTTTATCAGTGCAAAGGAATGCTCAGTGTTTTATAATATTAATGTAGATGATGACTGTCAAATAGTGAATAAACCACAGCGTTCCATGTGAGAAGAAACTTGCGCACTAAAAAGGATGCTTTTATGAGTACCTGGTGAGCGCATCGTGGGGGGGGGAGGGTTTGGGATTTCTGATTTAACCCAGCTTTTTTTCTTGATGTTGTAGAAAAACAGATCGTTGTACAGGTATGTCTGTAAAAAAAGGCAATACAAGTCTTTGAAAGGAAGAAATTATAAAGTAGAACTTCTGCTGTTACATACCAACAAAAGTCACATAGTGAGCTTCATACAGTTTGTAAAAATTACTGTCTCAGTTAACCGACTGTTTACATGAAGACAAAAAATATGTTGACAGAAAGTGCAAAGAAATGCATACACAGTGAAAAGTGAAATTCTTTATCACTGTTATAGAGAAGCAATTTGCAAAAGAAATGTGTTACCTTCTTCCCATTGTAGAATTCTCCTCCAAACAAGATCAGTTCATCTTTCTCAGGATGGGTAGAGAGAGTTGCACTCAATCTGAAAAATGTGAAAAAGTCATCGACTAAGATATTTGTATCCTCCTGCCATGGCAGACATTTTTTGTGAATTGCATTACAATTGAAAATGTTTATTTATACTATTATTGTATCAAAGTTTTACAACAAAAATCATTTTGACTGATTCAGCCAGTGGACTTGGTTGTGGCTTGTAGCAGAGCTTCTCAGTCGCTTTCGGGTCGTTGTTACATTTCAGGCTCTTACAAGGCTTGATTACTTGAAGTAAGTAAGAACCTTGCAAATAGATCAGGAGTAGTGACGCTTAATATCTGATATACAGCAGGCCTGGGTGCCCTAAAGACATTTTCGGTAACAAATGGTCTCTTAGTCAAATTAGAATTTACAAGGTGATATCTAAAGAGCTCTGCACTGCTTAGCTGTGGAGTCTGAGTTTGAATCTTTGTCAGATATGTTCTTAGATCATAATAATAATGATCTAAAACATATGAATCTGTCTCAACATTATGATCTTTCATTAAACATCTCACATGTATTTTGTTGGGGCACGGTCCTTGTTAGTGAATCTATGTTATGAAGGGATGCAGTCTATTACCTTGGTGATGGAGGAGAGCATTTTGTCTCGACGACTTGGGTCTTCTTTACATCCAGACTCTGAAACTCTGCAATAAGGGCCTCCAAATCCTCCTGGAAACAGAGAGGAAGGGATGAGGGGAAACCAGAGTGACCAACAAACCCAGAAGTACGTAAACTGCTTTCAGAACTGTCGAAAAGTGAAATAACTCAATAACAAGCAAGGCTTTGAAGTAGACCAACACAGGTCAAAGTTTCCTGATCACAGTAAGAGCCACTTGTATGATGCTAAGGCTATATCCCGGATGATAAAAATATCAAAACCATTGCTTATGGATGTATATATTTACCTCATCTCGTTTGGACCTTTTAGAAACTTTCTTCTCCAGTTTTGCGGCTGTCTTCTCTGCTCCTTTCACCTTATTTTCTTTCTTGCCTTTCTTGCCCATGGCTTCTGTGTTGCACCAGCATATATCTGATTGTGAAACACCAGGGATTTGTTCTGTTATGATGTATGCTGTGTTATCGGTGTCACATGGATACCCAAAGTAAATCGCATGCCAAATGCCGATGCTCTTCCTCAAACATGACACATTTACTTCCGGCAACAAACTTGACATCGGCACAATGCAGAACTGAGACAGCGCCCTCTTGCGTATCGGGAGACCTGTTTAAAATCAGTCTCGCAACCGAACTCAAAATGTTTCCCCCTAAAAAATGCAGGTTACTTTTATAGTTTAATATTAATAAGCCTGATTGAAGAGCAGCCAAAAGCACAGGGTCAAAGCAGACAAGTTTGAAATGTATTGGTAATTGGTGAAACAAGTGAATGTCTAATTTTGAGTTACGTGGACCTATTATATATTCACATATTACGTAGCCCTAGTATGTCATGTATTTGCACATTTATGTGATTATGTACATGGATATATTTGTATGCAAGGAAAGATACACCAGGGGGCCCCTCAGGACAACAAATGAACCCCCTGCACTCACACAAATTTCAGATACCAGTTATAACTAGTATTTAAAATTAATAGTTTTTAAGTGTACATTTTTTAAGTAAAATTAAGTGTTTTTTATTACAAATTTGTTTGAGGATAGGTACCATGTTGTCCTTCAATTTAAAAAATATTCTAAGTTGATTTTGAATTATGGCCCCCGTATAAAACACGTTCTACAAATTGTGTAAAATGTTAAGGTCAGTGCTTAGGCAAACATTGCAACAACAAAAGTAAAGGAAATAAGTGAAATGAAGGACAACAGTTGCGTTGACTCCAGAAGGATAACATTTTTGTTACCGGTTTACGGGCTCCTCAGATTCCAGGGACAGCTTGTTTAGCTTGTTCAGCAAGCCAGAGGCCTACGTTTAAAAGCAGAGCTAAAGTGTCACCACATTGCCGGCTCCATTGGCTCTATTGTCAATTCGATTATCTAAATATATCAGTAAACAACCTAACATAGCAACAAAAATGATGGTATCCCTCTCATCATAGTATTGATTGTATGGTATCATGAGGTTTTTTTTGTTTTTTTTTGAGTGGTAGCATTGGTTTTTACACTCTCTGTAGCTATGTGCAGAAACTGTTTTCTTGTTCAGATACACGTGTCCATTTATGTTCAGTGTGTGTTGAATGTCACAAAGAGAATCTACAAGTACTAATGAGCAGGAAATGTCTTGACACAATAATATGACATTTGCTTTTCCTTTAACACCTCTCTTGACGGGTCTTACCTGCACAGAGCAACAGTGTTCATCCTGTTTACTTAAGTTGAAATTATAAAAAATAAAATAAATCTGACATATATATGACACTGATGAAAAGTTGCTAAAAGTCTGGTTCATGATATACTTATACCACGAAGATGTGGAAAATACACTTAAGACTTTAGAAATAAAAGCCAGTAGCACATTATAATCAGAAGGGGGCAGCTGTGTGTTTCTTTGGACCCAGTCATTCATAACTGTACAGACATTTTTACCCATGACTGGTAGCACACCATCAGTAGTTTGAGCATCAGCGACATAAGCGATAGACGGAAAACTAAACATACTATGGTAAGCTCCAATAATAACTAGAGGTTGAGCTGTTAACAATTCTGAATGAAACAGCATCTCATGTATGCTTTGAGCTGATCATTCATCCCTGGTTAAAGTTAAGCCTTATCTCTCATCTCCATGGCTTCTAATTATTTCATATCCGTTCTCAGTGAATAAAAACAGAGGTCACAATGTTGGAAAATTGACCTATGAAGTCGTCAAGGCCTCCTGTGGGCATCAGCTATTTCCAGTCATCTGTCAGCACATTGTGATATTCATTTTCCCTCCCAGCATCTACAAATAATCACAAAAGCACATTCTCACATATACAAACACATCAGCTGACTACACACGCAGCGCATGACTGCTCTGCCCACCTCTCATTCCTGACTGCTAACCTTTGATGCTTTCTGAGGCGCTACTGGGTACTGGGTACTGGGTAGTGTGTGTGTGTGTGTGTTGTGTGTGTGTGTGTGTGTTGTGTGTGTGTGTGTGTGTGTGTGTGTGTGTGTGTTGTGTGTATGTGTGTGTCTTAAATTGTAAAAGACAGAGAGAGTGAGAGGAGCTTATTTAGAAGGGAGGTTAGCAGAGAGCCTTAGGCATAGCAAGATAGTCACACATTTTATCACATGTTCTCCACATTTACTGGTACATGGCCTGTTAAGCAATTGATTTTACCCAATTCAACACATCAGATAATATACTGCTCCAAATAACTTAAGATTCTTTGGAAATGCTGTGGGACAAATATTTTCTTAACATTTGACATAGAAGTTGTTTCTTCAATTTTCTTAAGATGTAACTCTTTAAAATTGGTTATGACACAAGGACTGTCTCAGTGTTTTACAATGCAAGCACAAAATCAAAGCTAAGTGCATTACGATTCGGTTGTTGACTCATGTTAGATAATATAGGCTACTTCATTTTGCAATGGTTAAATTAGAAACTTGGAGATTATGTACATTTAATTGGGAATAATCTCTTCAACAAAAAGAAAACTAGGTGGAACACTATATTGTAAAGGAATGACTGGTTTAAAAACATTTGTTTATA